CACTTATTAAAAGAGAAAAGCTAACCAAACCAGCCCTGCCCTATGTGAAAAAGTAATTTACCCCCGGAGCTTCATTTTTCTATCGTTGGCAGCAACAGCTGCCATCAAGAGTTCATAACTGGCAATGAGCTTTTAAATTGCTGTGGGGGAATTTTGGCCCCGTCTTCTATGCAGATTTTTTTGTTCGTTGACATTTGTGGGATTAGGGTGACGGAATAGCAAATTCATTTATTTGGAAATCTGGAATTTGACTAGGCCAGTTGAAAACCATCTCCAACACACAATTCTTTCATATTTTTACCATCCTTCCTTTGCTCATATGAAAAACAGAAATGTACAAGATCACCCCCAAAAAGTATTTGGATTCACTTTTTTGCCTTAATGATTGAAATAATTTCTTAAAAATTGGAGTTTGTAGTTGTTATTTTTGCGTGAATAGAAAATTGTTTATTAGAAAGGCATGTGACAAGAAAAAAAATAAAATAAATAAAAACAAAAACTTGTGAATGGTTAAAAGCTTCATTTTGTTGAAACTTTTTTTTTACTATATGTGTGATTGAACATTTAGATTGTTTTCAGATGCTGATAATCTTCTTTTCTGCCTCGTCAATAGCAGTCGGGCTGTGATGTCAATAAACAAATAAATAAATAAATGGCTACGTTTTGGTACGCCATTTTGTGTTTCCTTTGTAAAAGCGGCTCAAACCAACCGTACCCGCCTCATGTAGGCCCATGAACAGAGTGGAGCTGAAATTAGTCACATTTGCTATGTTGGAAAAAATTACTTTCAAACATATTAAATTATGTTTTGGTCAGTTACTCAATACTTGAGTTGCATTTTTACCAAATACTTTCTCACTCTCGACTCATTTCTTGGACAGCTACCTTTTACTTATACTTCATTGAAAGTACTTTGAAGTATTGCTACTTGTGTGTTCAGCCTTTAGCTACTCTACCCATCTATGTCCATACAACTAGGTTACGATAGCCTTGTCATATGGACAGAGGCGGCACGGTTAAGGTGGAACTACAGTCGTCATACAACTCCACCCAATGACTGCGAGTCAAAAAACAGTCACCTCAAAAAATTACCTCATTACCTATATGCCCGATCAAAAAATATTGTACCTGGGGCTGCAGACCGAATCGCAGCATGTGGCTCAACGTTTCAGTGACAAAAGGTTGAAGATCGCAAACTGTATTTTCCCTTTGAAGAAATTCAAGTTACAGCAACTGTGTTTAGAAAAACAAAGCTGAATGCGTGGGTGTGTGTGTGTGTGGGGGAGGAGGGGGGTGGGGGGGGGTGTGTGCGTGTGTGTGTGTGTCACTGCTCTTGTGAGAATGAATAAATTTCACTCGGTTTGGTAGCATTAGACAGAGGGCAGATTGTGGTCAACTCCATTTATTCAGCCCTGATGTATGTGTGTGTTAATATGAGGTCGAGCGTTTTAGTGTGTGTGTGTGTGTGTGTGTGTGTGTGTGTCTTTGTGTGTGTGTGTCGCGTTGCTATGAGCCATGTTTGCTGATAGATGCTGTTGTTACTCTATTTCAGTGAATGAAGGCCGTAACCCACACATGCATTACCATATTCATACAGCTCGCAAAATAGATTGGTTCTGTGTGTGTATGCGCGTGTGTGGGTGGGTGGGGGGGGGGGGGGGTGTTTAGCTTGGCTAAGCATAGTGTGAGTTTACTTCCTTTTGTAAGGGTGGAAGTTATTTTAAAGGAGCGATTTTGAAAACAGCAAACACTCTATCATGTATCACACACACACCGCATGTCCTGCAGACGTATATAAAAAGCTCTATCTAAGCTAAAGCCTACTCTTGTAAAATGTGTTTAAAAAAAAGAAAAAGAAAAAAGAAGAGCTCCTAAATTGAACATCAAACCACTGGCCAAAACGGCTGGAACTCTTTCTCTCCCTATGCCTCTTTTCCTTTTTTTTTTCTCCTTCTGCCTCCCGTTTTTCCAACGTATAGATAGTCCTGCAGTGGTGATAGACTTGTGTGTCCATGTCTGGTGAGTGTCTGGATCATTACCTCTGTGCTGTGTGTGTTTGCGTGTGTGTGTGTGTGTGTGTGTGTGTGTGTGGGTGGGTCAGGTCAAGCTATTATTATGGCAGCAGCTGTAGCGGTATTGCAGGGGACTGTTGGAGGCGTGCAGACAGACTGAAGGCTCTGAAGGACTTTAGGTTTGAGTGACGGACCTCGGACTCAAACTGCTGTGACCTGCGCCACCTATACTGGTCACACGGCGCAGTCCCTTGAATCACATGTGATACCTATGCTTGTTATTTTGGGTAAGAGCGTTTGAATAGATGGAAGAGGACAGAGATGTCGTCTGCAGTTGGGGGGAAATGAGGAAAAACAAACAGCTCAAAATTTTGACTGAATTTTTGTGTGTGTGCACTTAAGCTGAGATGGTACAAATACATCTAAATATTTTAGTTTGCTGAACTACCTATACTTTCATATCCCTCTAGAAAAATCACATTTGATTTTATTAGAAAATTTACCTCTAATAATTACATAAAGATTGCTGTGTGTGTTAGTAAAGTAAAAGCTTTTTGGGAGTGTGGCTCTGCTCCTCTGTGTGTAAATGTGTGCCAAAAACTCCCTCAACTTCCTCAGTCTCTGAAAGTTTTCGCCATTCATCCGGGGTTATTTCCATTCTGCCGTCCAGGGAGCATTCACATGCAGATAGAGCCGACGGGAATGATATATCTGCACATGTTCACACCTCGCCCACATTCCTAATATGTCTGCCTGCACACACACACACACACACACACACACACACACACACACACACACACACACACACACACACACACACACACACACACACACACACACACACACACACACACACACACGCATTCTCCTCCTGGTACACTCAGAACAGAAACTCGCATGAATGAGTGTAGAGACCAAGATAAATGAATTATTGGCTATTTGTTGTTGCAGCTATTTAGGGTTATGTTGGTTTATTTTGTTGCAGGCACACTGCTTTGTGTGTGTGTGTGTGCGTGCGTGTGTGTGTGTGTGTGTGTGTGTGTGTGTGTGCTGTTATCTCTGACCTGTGTTAAGCAATGTCCAGAAACAATAGGGATTAGTCCAGTAGACCAAACTGATGTGATTTGCTATTAATATGATGCTCCGAGGTCATTCTGTGTAGGTCTGAATGTGTGAGTTAAATGCTGGAAAAACAGCCTACAGACCAACAACAACCAAAATCCCAACCACACGCTAACTCACGCCAACGCTAACGTACGGCAACTCCTGCCACAACAGAGGCAACCCGGCGAGTTTTTAAAAGTGACGATCTGTCGGCCATGTCGGTTATTAAATTATTCCTGTGTGCATGAGTGTGTGCAGAGCATGGGTGAGCGCTAATTTGCCAGGGTGAGGGAGTGACTTTGTGTGCTATAAATCTGCCTGTGCGCGTGCCGCCGCGCTAAATCTCCCCTGTCACTGCTCTGACTTAATGTCTGCTGCTTGATCTATAAATGTTACCAATTAAGTGTGTGGTTGTAAATTCCTACAGTAAACTAATGGAAATGAAGCCTTTAAATCTCTGACAGTGACCCAAGTCATCACAGATTAGACATGACACGTTTTACAGAGTGATAAAACACGTTTACGCTGCCGTTGAACGGGGAGACGTCGGAGGCCATCGGCATCCAAAATCTAACGGGGCGTTCAGGAAGTGCAGCGGAGGGAGTGTGGTTAATATCTGCTGCCGCCGTCAGATATCTTCTGTTATCTTTGCTTGATATAAATGTGTATTTTTAAAATGTTTTTAGATTAACTTCTGAAATACCTTATGGCATGTTTCCTTACCTTTAACGTCTAAAGACTGTCAAGAAAGTACAGCAGTGATGCTAGTGGCTGGTAACACAATCCTTCATCAAATTCATTTAACTGGTTACTTTCAGACCAAACTTTTCAACAAGGTCAACAAAAGGTTAACCTTCCTACCTACTAACTATTGTACATTCCAGCTTAACTTCTTACCCTTCCTACCTACCAGCTTTCCTTCCTACCTTCCTACTTTTCTGTCTTTCTTCCTACTTATCAACCAACTAACACACCAACTTTCCTTCCTACCAACTTACTGCTCTATCTGTCTACCTACCTTCCAATCTACCTACCTACATTTGTACCTACCTAATAAATTTATACATTGTAATTGAAAGCCTGAGAAAAAAATCTTTTTTTTTTTTTTATTAACATTTTGGCAGAATAATGCGTAGGAACCCTGGATGAAGTAGTACATCCCTCTAAACTGCGTAACATGGTTAGGACAAAAGAAGAAGCTGGAGGGGCGAGAAAACAAAAAGATGAGAAGAGAAAAGAAGAAAAAAATCTAGAAGAAAAGACGAGGGAACGCGGGAAGTCCATTTGGGGAATCGCCCTTGTCATTTTCAGCGTTGACCTTTACATCTCAGCTTCTTCCTTCCCCATGTCTTCTGTCTACAATTTGTTTTTTTTTCCCCCCCCTTCCAGTTGACCTCATCTTACCCACCGCTGCATACGTTCCTCTTTCACCTCTTCTTTTTGCCTCTGCAGGCATCACCCTTCTTCTTTCAGAACTCTGAATGTTTATGGAACTCCTCACATCGTATGATTCATGGGTTCAAGCTTTAAGTTGTATTCTGAGATGTTAACTATATATATACACACACACATACTTTGAAGAGCTATTTTCAGTCGTTGATTGCTTCTAGATTGAAACACAATACCGCAAACAATTTTCAAAGAAACAATATTCCCTGTCACATGCATTTGTCTTTTCCTTTTGTTTCCTTACATCCTCTTATTTTTTTCCGCCGCCTGTACATTTCATTTTCCATATAGTTTATTTTTCTCACGCAGGCATTTTTGATGACTGCTCCTCTTTGGTTTGAGAAAATTTGAGAGAGCAAAGTAGTCGAGCAGTGCAAACAGTGTGAACGTTCACTCTCCCAGTCTCACCCCTCTGCTTTCTCTCCCTGCCAGTGGACGGCTGCATCGACTGGTCGGTGGATCTGAGGGAGTACCACGTCCTGGCCGGCGAGCCCGTTCGGGTCAAATGTGCCTTGTTCTACAGCTACATACGCACCAACTACACCATGGCCACCAACGCCAAGCTGCGGCTCATCTGGTACAAGAACAAAGGAGATGCGGAGGTAAGGCGGCCCATTCGGAACCGGAGACCGAAAAGACGACGAGAAACGAGGCGTGAGAAAATACCTGAAAGTGGGTTGCAGAAGTGTTCATACCTCACATTTATTCAATTCACAACTCAAATGTGTTCTCTAGGGATGTTTTTAGTGACATATCACAGGTTTCTAGAGCCACATGTGTCTATTTTGTCACTTTCATGTGAATGATATAAAACAAAACATTAAATCTCAAACACTATGTTTCAAATATTAAATACAATTTAATCAATGTAAGTATAAAAGTAATAAAGTGGTGTTTTTTATTGACTTTTGATGCAGTATTAATACTGCGTCAAAAGAATATGTTCATTCTCTCTCTGTAATTTGACGTTCTTTGTTGTAAAAACTAAAGATAAATTTTAAATTCTAATTTCTGTGAAGAAGTTTACATAAGTAAAACCCTTTATAGACTTTTTTTTTTCAAACTTGCTTGGGAGTTAAACAAGTTTGTACATACTTAGTACTGATTCATTTCTTAATTTATTTTGGCATTTGCATTGACAATCTATAGAATACATTTTTTGCTTCAAATACGGCAAAAACAGCTAAAAAGTATTAGCACCTTTCAGATTTATGTTGCTAAAAATGTATAAAATTCATGTGTTTTCCTCACTTCTGAATGATGCAAATCATTTGAATCGGTCTGTCACGTAAATGTCCATATGGCATGCCAAAAGTGTCAAACTTTTAAGACGTATGAATTGTTTTTCAAAGTTCTGTAGATGGAAAAATCTGTAAGTCACATTTTTATACATTCATGTTCTTGCTGTAACATTAATTGCCCTTTGGCACGTGAACAAACCTGAAGCTGAAACAGGGTTTATGTTTCATTCTGACTCCCACTCAGAAAATAACCTGAAACCTACAGCAGCTGTTCTTTGGTGCGTCACATCTCAACTAAAGTGAAACAGTCTAAGTTAAATCTTTTTTTTTTTTTCATGTAATCTACGTAGTAATCTTCTTCAGGTTTCATCAAGTCAAAAATGATTTTTTTTTTCCTGAAAATTCAACTTCTTGTTATTATTTTGTGATGTCTCCTGTAGGAGCCCATCATCTTCTCCGGTCACAGGCTGAGCAAAGAAGACGACTCCATCTGGTTTAGATCTGCTGAAGTGGAAGATAACGGCTTCTACACGTGCGTCCTAAGGTACCGTAAGATTTTTGCTCTGCCCTGGAGGAAAAACTCTGCCTCTCCATCCCAGACTCTCAGAGGAAGCATGATTCGGGGTCATCTCTGGGTCAGGGAGATGCAGCGCTGATGACGCCTTGCAGATGCCGCATCCAAACAGCTCCTCTGCCTGGATGGGGAGCGAGGTCAAAGCACGCTGAGCAAAGGGGCATTTCATTTTCCAAATTCGGGGTTCAGACCGAGCTTAATGCAGGTGGTGAGACAGAGTAACCGCACAGAGGCTGACCCGATTCACTGCTTGGTTCTAACTTTTAGTAAAAAAATTACACCTTTTTGATTTTTTGGGGAAAAATTAAAGAGGGAGGAAGTCACGCGGTACCAAGGGTGTTCAGAGTGTGGCGTGAGGGCCATTTGCGGTCCTTAGAATGATTTTGAGCGTCCTTGATCTCAAATCAGGAAGTTTCAATTGATGCAGATATAATTTTAAAACAATGTTAGGGTGCAATTCTGTCTGATTCCAGGCCTGTCAAAAAAAAAAAAAAGGTATTTTAAAATGTTAGAAAGAAAATGTAAGGTGATTTTAATTTAGTTTAAAGCGACAACAAACCATCCTGTGACTTTTACTCAAATCAACAGCCATTTTTCTTTTTTGGTTGAAATACAGGAAGCATAACACACTAGGCGAAAAGAGGCGAGAGTTTCCCCCTGAACAGGTTTTCTGCGTTTTTGCATGTGAAGTGGAATAAGTTTCCATTACCTGCTTTCAAAAAAAGTCAGATAGTAGCTTTCATTTTAATTGGCTAGAGTATGGCAGGAGGAGGGGCTTAACCCTGCCAGAACCTCAACCATGTTCATATTTAGATTAGAAGTTTACAAAGTTGGACATAGCGATTAATCATGATTAGTTACAGCACTGGAATCTGATTAATCTGATTATATTCTTTAATCATTTGACAGCACTGGTTTTGGTTGGTCTGATATAAATTTTTTATCTTAAATATTGAGTTTTCATTAGTTGCAAGTGAAACAGGAAAAAAGGCACAAAAAAAAGAAAAGAAAAAAGAAACATCAATTTGTGTCTAATTACTCCAGGTAACGTTTCACTTGTTGAACTACAATATAAATGAACTTTCAAATCACCTCCTTAATCACATGGGTTATATATGGACGTAATTTAAAGATTGATTTTTTTCTCCAGGTTTTTCAGTCTGAGTTCAGGCTTCTGCTTTAGAAAACGAATTAATTAAGTAGAACGTAAAGTGGCGTAATTTAGTCATTAAAACAAACAGCCTCTTAGGCTGCAACACATCCTTGTTTTTGTTCTCACACCATAATTCGTTCTGAAATAGTGCTTTTCTTCTTCTTCTTTTCTGAAGCAAATCTTCTCTAAACGTGTGACAAACGGGTTTAATCTACCAGATGGAGGAAATCCTGCCAGTTTTGCAAATTGTTCATTCACAATATGGCTGCTGGCAGGACAACAGGCTCTGGCATGGCTACTGTGGGGCCACTTCAGGGACATGTCTGTGTGTTTGTAACTGTGGTGGCAGAAACCTATGTAGAGCAGTCAGCTTTGTAGCCGACAACAAAGCTTTTCTTCTTGTTTACCTGCAAGTGAGTGACGGGTGTTTGGATAAGGCTGAGTGGAAAGGATGCGATTCACAATGGCTCATGTAGTAAATGAATCAAACCCCTTCGGTTGCATTACTTTAGTAGACTAACTTCATTGCTTGAAACATTAGTAATGGATTAATCTCTACATTAACGTCAAAAGATCCCCAAGAAGTGTTACGCAAAATTGACTTTTTTGATCTTTACGTCATGTTATTCCCTCATCAGAAACAGTGTAAACACTGGAAGAAGTGTTGTTAAAAAGTTATAGGTGAGCCATGTTGATTACTTCCTCAAGTTTCAAAACAAACAAAAGCTTCTTAAAGAGACGGAGGACCAATTTCAAGGCGTTTACTTGAAATGCAAGTCATATTAAGTATGACATGCAAAGTCATGCTTAATCATGTGTAGCATTTTTTTTAACAACGGACGTTAGTTACTTCATTAGGCTATAAAATGCCACTAAGTGCCTGGAAAACACATAACACTTCCCCAGTAATGCTTCTCCCATTCCCAGTCTTTGGTTCTCCGCGTCTCCGATTGGTTCCCTCTGTCCCTTCATCCGTGTCGTCTTCCTCCCTCCTCCTCCTCGACCCGCTCTTGTGTCATCCTCCCACCTATTCCTGCCATAGCCTGACACCTATCCTCCGTAATAAGCTCTCTCTCTCCCTTTCCCTCTCTCTCTCTCTTGCTCTCTCAGCGTGACAACCTAATTAGGGCTTGGTGTCTGTCATTGTCTCAGGGCCTCTTATTAGTGCACACGCACACACACACACACACACACACATGCTCGGATGCAAATCACCTCCTATCCCAGCAGGGAGCCTCTGACTGGATACGGTTGTGTTACTAAAAGGCCGTATCCAGTGTATGAAAGCGAGTAGTAAAAGGGCCGTGAGACAAAGCCAAACATTCAGAGCAATTTATTGCTCTTGATTGATTTCTAATGCTGTTGCTTTAAAGGCGTTGACATGCGTTTCCTTGTTTGTACCCTCGCTACAATAAAACAAAAAGAAAGGGCTCTGACAAGTAGATTTTGTTTTGCTTCCTGACTCCCTGCGCTGACTGGCATCTGTTGAAATTGGATTAATAAAAGGAAAGTGAAAATACCGGAAACTCTAGGAGGTTGTAATTTATAGTTCTTGATTGTAATTTTCGGAGAAACCGAGTTTAAAGATTGAAAGAAGAAACATGTTCATAAATGTAATGTCTGTGTGTAGTAGAACGAGATGGGGCCGAAATCACCACAACAAACTGGCAAAAGCAACTCAGGCCTCATTTTAGGAAGAAAACGAGAAAATTCTTTCATACATTTGAGGTATGCAGAATGGATATTTGGCAGGTCAAAGGTTACAATATGTAAACATGTCTGAAAACATTTTCAAGAGACATTATCAGTTCACAGGAATCCATTTTGTAGTCTCTATAACCCTGGTGATTCTTACTTACGTTCCATAAAACAGGTCAAAATTGTCTGCTGCCTAAATGATCGTTTTGTCTTTTTTTAAATGTTATTGAAATCCTGTTGTAACCATAATCTTGCTCATATTGTAGATACATGTAGAAGAACGATAAACTGGTAAACTTTGGTCTAGTTGACAAAATTCTCTGTTTTCCAAACGTAAATGAGAGCACTCAAACATGACGTGGGGTTTCTCAAGGCTCCATTCCAAGGCCACTTTACTTTTTGAAATTTCCATAATCCCTGTGGTTCAGATTGTGGTGCACTACTATCCTCTCACAATGTCTTTGCTGACTCTCACTTCAGGTCTTTTTTGCACAACTTAGCTCTTAATTTGTAGTCCTGTGTTCTTTTGAGTTGATCACACACTTTAGTAAATTTACTTTAGCTCACATTCTCGTTTGTGATTATTTCGGCATGTGGGCTTCTTTGGGGTATTTTTGCAGTTCACATAGAAAAGTTATATTCCTCTGAACGATGCCTGGACCTCAAATTGCTTTTGCTGACAGGCAGATAAACGCCTCACCAATTGTCCCTGCTGACTCTTATCCAGCAATTACTTTTCTTTTTTTATTTTACCTAAAAGATTTAGAGAATAAGACAAACAGTGTTTGTTTGATTCTGCCTTATGAAAACAGTCCCCGGTGCTTTCAGTCATTAGTGCATCTGCAGCAGAAAAACTTAAATTGAGTTCCAAATTGTTTGACAAAATCTTTTTTGTCATAAACTCACAACCTGCTGCATTAATCTAGTTCCCAGGAGCTTTAGTACTTAGTAAACACATTTCAGACTGAATAAGTTTTAGCGGGGATTACCGAACAGGCGATTGATCAATGACTGTACAGTAGTTTATCATAAAACTTCTGTCTTGGGTCAGAATTTCTTGCACAGCGATGCTGGAAGGTTTGGCAGCAGTTCAGATATTTGAAACAAAAAAAAAAAAACGAATCGATCATAACCGTATCAGCTGATATAAAACCGTCATTTTGTGTTACGGTTTAAAGCCTAAAACATCTTTGACAGAAATATGTTTTTTGTCAAACATCTTGCCATAAGGCAAAAGAATAACACTAAGGAAAGAAATTAATTAGATGCAACTTGCATTGAATATTATCAATGTAAGTACACCTAGATGCACATTTCACAAAAAATCCTTACATAACTCAGAATAAAAGTAAAAGAATCTGAAAAAAATGAGCGCGAACTCTGTAAATGAAATAACAGGATTTCTGGCATAAACTGAGGAACGATACAGAGATAAGATAGAATTTGCACAGAAGTGGAAACATTTTTAAGACGGTGGTGAAGTCATTTGGGCAGGCAAATGGGAGCGAGACGTAGACTGTAATCAGAGACAAAGTCGTCAAATTGGAGATGCAGAGAAAGAGGCTAAATAGACAAAACCGAAAACAGAGGAGAGCTGACAGAGAGAAGATGGAATTAGACGGACAGACGATGGGAAAGCAAAGGCAGAAATGCAAGTCGAGGAGAGTGAAAAACAAAAGAAAAAAAAAATCCTGCATTTTCTCTGCAGGTACAGGGAGCTGAGTGGTGAAAGAGGGCAGGGACCGTTACACACCCTCCTCACACACGTTATGATTAGGACCACGGCACACACCGCTCACAGACAGACTTCACTTAAACAGAAATGGAGACGCACAGTGAGAGCTCCTGGTTTCCCCTCAGGCTGCGATGCTGCAACATGGACTTTGCACCAGATCTCCATCCTGGAACACTTGATTGTCTATCAGAGGGATTCAGGAAGGAAATCAGAAAGCTCACAAATAGAGGCACACATACAGAGAGGGATGGAGGTGGACGTGTCAAAACTCAGCTTGCTTTCAGAAAGAAGAGCGATAGTATTTGAATCTATTGAGCTCAACCAGGTGTTCTAATTAAAGGGGCGGTAATATGTGTTTTCCTGCCATGTAGTGTCTTTTTACCG